ATCGAATTTTTCAGTTTTTCAATGGTCGAAGACACTGGAACAATTTTTAATGAATAAATAAATTGATTGAGTAATTAATAAATGAATTTTTATTCGGTTTTCAGTCCTGGATAATTCACGGGAGTTATGATTTCCGGTTCTATTTTAAAAACTCCTTTATCTTCAATTTTACCATAAAAAAACAACTCTCGGTGAATTATTGTCCATAAAAATAATAATTGTTATTCCTTTTTGCAATATCTTTTCTCTATGGAGAATGTCGGGTATAAAAACTGGAGTTACAACCTCTCGAGTTCAGTATAATAATTTTTTTTTATCATAAAATCATAAATAAATCATGGAGAAAGTCGGCATATGGATTTTGATATTGGCAGTTTTATTTTTATTCACTTTGGCGTCAGGTAATTGTCCGCAGTATGGATGACAAAATTAGACGATTAATTTTCAATTTGTAAAAGACTTCTTATTTTTTAAATAATTCTTTTGCCTTAGTGGACGCAGACGGGCCACCTTTAGCACCTAAAGGAAACCCAGGAGGTTGTATCCTTTGTGAACACCCACCGCCATTAAGTACAGGCAATTGAAATGACCTTCACATAAAAAATTATCTAATTATGGAAGATAAAAATGGCCACTGTATTGGGAGTCGTCGATATAATTCAGTTATCTTAATTCCTATTATTGTTATGACTGTGTAATCATTGATAAATAAATGTTGATAATTGTCCCGAGTCCTTGAATTATTCCTCCAACGATAAATAAAAATTCCCAGCGTTTTTACGTCAAATAAATTATAAACAAATATTCAGTTTCAAAGTCTCTGATTTACAATTGCATCACTTATCGATTTATCTCGAAAACTATCAGTGCCAGGTAAATGCGCTAAGGACCTTATTTCTAGGTAATTAAATTTCCGATATAAATGATCTTTTGATATTTTTTCTAAAAATCGACGGTTTTTTAGATAAATTGATTGTTAATAAATCGTAAAAACTTTTATTACGAAAAAATGAAAGAGGGGGAATTTTAAAAATCATTTGAATGCATTTTATGGCAGATAACCATATGTAATAAAAAATATGAAATGAAGATGGTAGAATCCATTAATTAATTATGAAATAATGATTATTTATAAAATCTCAATGTTTTAAATACCGTTACTTTCCGAAAGAAAACATCTTGTTGCAATAAATTCCCCTGTCGCAAAAAATGATGGCTATTTTTTATTACCCATCAATGAAAAATAAAAATGATGATTTATAATAATTATAAATTAATTTTCGTTTCAAAGAAAAGAGTTATCGGTCGAATCTTATTAGTGTCGTCTTCGGGTTTTTCTTTTAACCGGGAAAATTCCGGGGCTTCCCGTGAAAGTTGACCATTGAGTTATTGTCTGTTAACATGACCGTCAAGAGGCTGTCATATTTATATAGTCCAGTGAATCCCCGGAGAAGTCGCGATTTCCTATATAAGACGAGATTTGAGGGGTGGTAGCATTCAATTCCACTCGATCAAGAGTCAGACAACAAACAATTCTACATCATGGCAAAATACTTCAGCCTTTCCCTTCTTCTGGCGATGGCCATGTTCCTCGTTATTGCATCAGCCACCGGTAATTATTTTTTCACTCTCAAAAAAATTATGAACTTTATAACAAATTAATGCATTATCGATTCCACATTAATTTCAATTCGTGAGTTTTTCAAGAATATCTCTTCAACTAACAGATATGTCGAAATTGTCATCAGAACCTTTTTTGTAACCCGCAATTCCCTCCATGAAAAAGGTTATTATAAAAATTTCGTTATCTCTCTCGTATCCAAAGATATTCCTGGAAATGCAAAAAAAAATGTTTGATGAATGAGAAATTAATTGTGCCGATTCGAGTGGCGAGTTTTCGGAGGATATCTCTGAATCTAAGAGAGATATCGAAATTATTATCGGGACCTTTTTTGTAGTGCGCAATTCTCTCTATAGAAAAGGTCGTGATAAAAATTTCGTTATCTCCCGCGCATTCGGAGATATTCGCGGGGAACGCGATTGCAGAAAGCGTCCCCTTATTTTTCTTCGCTACGGACTGATTTTCCAGGTCTAAAAAAAAATTCTGGCACTGGGAATTTTCTTGTGGTCGCCCTGTAATTATATAACATTAATTATTTTATTTACCCGGCTTAAAAATTTTTTTAGCAACCGCTGATCCCGTGGTAGACCATGTGCGTCAACCCCGCGTCATCTGCGATCTCCTGGGGTTGGGAGATGGAGGATGTGCTGCCCGCTGTATCGTCCAGGGAAAAAGGGGTGGATGGTGTGAAAAAGGAGTTTGCAACTGCCGAAACTGATAATAATCCAACAAAAAACAATATAAATAAAACTGACAGTAAAGGCGCCAAATAAAATACCCGAGATCTAAAACCAATAAAATTTCAATTTCACAACATTCCCTCATTATTTATTGTTTCATGCAATAAACAATAGTTTACCTTTACCTCGTGACTCCCATTTTCCTCGATAACTTCCGGCAGGAGGAAAAGTCCAACTGAAATTTCCACTAATTAACATAAAAGAAAACGCACATCCGCTGAATTATTATAAATGTACGACAGATGATACATATTTTGTATTATTTTTTTTTCCTCTAGAATTATATTAACTCGATGTCTATATAACACTAGAGCCTCGACGAAAATCATCTCCTCGAGCTTTGTCAGTTATTATACAAACACGATAAAAATAAAATTATTTATTTAACGAGAATTCAAATCATGACGAGAATTCAAATTTTATTTCTCTTCGCAGTTATGGCTGTTGTTTTCGCGGTTTCAATTACCGGTAATTCACTATTTTTTATGATTTTTCAATTGAATTGTAATATTTAATCATTTTTTTAATTTTTAGCACATCATCACGAACGCCCACGTCGACAGATACTAAGTTGTTTTTTCGGTGATCTCGGTTGCACCAAGAGTTGCTTCCTCCGAGGAAGTCGCAATGGCGGCCGCTGCATCCGAGGCGTTTGCGTCTGCAATTAATTCCACAAAGAACCGAAAAATCGCGAACTGTGTAACAAACTCGACTAAAATGGCATGAATTACCCCAAAAGGGAATGAACAATAAATAAATTATTTATTCCAATTGACTTTCCAGTGTAATTTCCAATTAAAATTCATCTTACCTCCATTTTCTTTCGCAATTGTCATGAATATTCGCGATGATTCGCAATATTCAAAGATATCGAGCAAACATTCACACCTAAATTTGCAAAGACTACGTCGAGTACCAGGAAACAGGTGTTGTTCAATCCCTTAACGATAGATCATCCTCAAGGTCAATTATAATTCGTAAGATGTACATCGACAGTGCAATATGCAGCAATTCAATGGATTCTTCTATTAAATAAATTGCTGGGAGCAGCTCTGGCTGTTGTCTTGAATCTTTAGATAACGAAATTTATGGGAATTGGGGATAATCTTTTCGCGCACTACCCCCCGGTGATTGTCAATTGACAAAAGGTGAGTAATCGAAGAAAGATATAAATCTTTGCTATCTGGAGACTAGGTATCAGTCCGTATTTGTGCTTTCCAGAGCTCGCGTTGGCGCCTGAAAAAGGTAATATTTGAGTAATTTATCAATATATAAATTACCCAATCAATTGAAAATATTTTAATTAAGATTTTATGAAGACTTTGATTGGACGGTCCCAACAGAATTTTGTCCCATTAATTAATACTCTCGTTTCTCTCGTACTTGCAGATGCGTTTCCTTTTATTTATGATTGTTTATTTGGTGGTGTCCATTGCTGAAGCATCAACTGACAGTAAGTGGAGTCTTTTAGAATCTTTTTCTATTTTCATTATGACGAATCGCAATATTTCCGATTGAATTTATCTTATCAGTGACAGCACATGAAGTCGACACGTGCCGTGAGTCAGGCATTAGTTCATAGATTTTTTATCTCCTGAAAAAACAGAATGACCAAAAAATTATCATAATTAAATGTATCCAATTAAAATAATTGATCCACAGAAAAAATCGTCTGCTATTTTGGCAGTTGGTCAGTCTATCGTCCGGGGAATGGAAAATTTGATATCAGTGATATCGACCCGGGTGTCTGCACCCATTTGATCTACACCTTCGTAGGTCTTCAGGGTGAGGATGTCAAGGTGCTGGACCCCTGGCAGGATCTGCCTGATGAATGGGGTAAGGATGGCTTCGGTAGATTCAATGCCTTGAGGAACACATCAGCTAAAACGCTGATTGCCATCGGAGGCTGGAACGAAGGATCAGCGAAATATTCCCAAATGGCTGCCAAACCGGCATCACGCGAGAGATTTGCTGACAATGTTGTTAAATTTGTGAAAAAATGGGGATTCGATGGGTTCGATGTTGACTGGGAGTACCCAGGACAACGAGGAGGCTCTCCACAGGATCGTGAGAATTACATCGAGCTCCTGAAATCATTGAGATCACGGTTCGATAAAGCGGGATTGATTCTGAGTGCTGCTGTGGCTGCTGCTGAGTCTTCTGCCTCGATATCATTCAATATTCCTGAGATCTGCAAATATTTGGATTTTGTCAACATCATGGCTTATGATCTTCATGGCGCTTGGGAATCTGTCACTGGAATCAATGCACCACTTCGGGCAGCTTCTTCTGACACGACCCAAAACAAGAAGTTGACTGTTGTAAGTACTTTGTATTAATATTAATTAATTCCATTGTATTGACCGTTCCTCTGTCATCTTATCCTCGTCCAAATAATTGAAACCCCCGAGCACTTCGTTATTTCATCAGGAAGCTGCAGTGAAGTACTGGTTGGAACAAGGTGCCCCTCGGGATAAACTGGTTCTAGGGATGCCCCTGTATGGACGTGCCTTCACTTTGACCAATCCATCGGATAATGCTGTTGGAGCTTCTGCTCGTGGAGCTGGTGCTGCTGGACCTTACACTCGTGAGCCAGGAATGCTGGGGTACAACGAAATATGCGAGATGCAGAGTCAAGGAAACTGGAATATCGTTTTCGATGAGGAACGTCGGGTTCCTTACGCAGTCAAAGGAGATCAGTGGGTTGGATACGATAATATCAAGTGAGTTGCTGTTATCATTTCATTTTTCGCAATCGCTTCAAGTATTCACAGGTAAAAAAATCGTTTCTTCGACAGATCAATCCGCGAGAAGGCAGAACTCGTCAAAGATTTGGGTCTCGCTGGTGCCATGGTATGGAGTATCGAGACAGATGACTTCAAGGGAATCTGTGGTCATAAATATCCTCTCCTCAAGACCATCAATTCAGTTCTTCGAGGTGGAACTCCAGTTCCTGAGGAATCAATTCCACCAGAAGTACTGGAAATCCCAGAAGTACCAGGACTACCAGCAACCACGGACCCAATTGAGAACAGGCCCACTCCATCCAGGCCAATTTCTGGATCAGGTACTTGCACTTCCATAGGAAATATTCCTGATCCTGAATCATGTGGATACATCGCCTGTGTCCCAACAGTTCGAGGTGGATTTGAAGAGCATCGAATGCAGTGCGGCATTGGCCTCTGCTTCAACCCATTCAACGGAATTTGTGACTGGCTACAAATTTAATGCGCAATCCAATCAATCAGCGATTAATATTTGTCTCGATTCTCCATTTTCTTAGATGATCTTCCTTGATACGATCTTGCGGTTTTGAATGATATCATTCTATCCACACGTGAACAGCTTTCGGGAGAGATATGAATGAAGAGATTGGAGACCCGAATTGATTTCGATCCAATGATAATACCTTCCGGCGAGATATCGACGTTGTCATTCAATTCGGCAAGCATCGATTTCAAATTCGATCGATCATTGTAAGTCACGTTAGTGTAGTAGTCGCTTCGACTGAGTAATCTTTTCAATGGAATAAAATAATTCGTAATTAATAGATCTTAGTACCCAGTAATGAATTTCAATAAACATTGATCTCTCAAGATGCGTATTATTTTCTTGGCCCTCGGTTGTCTAGCGGTTGTCGATGCTTCTGCTGGTGAGTAGATGAACGGCTGGGAATCTTAAAAAAAGTCTGGCTTCGATTTATCAATGGAGACGCATTGATGAGATTGAAAGCGAATTCGTGAATTGGAAATGATTGAATTTTCGTAGAGAAAGTCGTTGTGTGTTACTTTGGCAGTTGGTCGGTCTATCGACAAGGAAATGGAAAATTCCAAATCGAGGACATCGATCCATTCCTCTGCACTCACTTGATCTACAGCTTCGTAGGACTCAAGGGTGATAGAATTAATATTACGGATCCTTGGCAGGATTTACCTGACAGCGGGGGAAAGAATGGATTCGGGCGTTTCAATGATTTGCGGAAGAAAAATCAGTTGTTGAAGACTCTGATTGCCATTGGAGGAGCGAATGACAAATCGGTAAAATATTCCATAATGGCTAGTGATTGGGTATCACGTGAGAGATTTGCTGATAATGTTGTTAAATTCGTGAAAAAATGGGGATTCGATGGTTTCGATGTTGACTGGGAATATCCAGGGCAGAATGGAGGCGCTCTGGCAGACAGAGAGAATTACACTGAGCTTTTGAAAATTTTGAGATCACGGTTTGATAAAGAGGGATTGATTCTGAGCGCCGCTGTGGCTGCTGCTGAGGTTTCCGCCTCGAAGTCGTACAATATTCTTGAGATCTGCAAATATTTGGATTTTGTCAACATCATGGCTTATGATCTTCATGGCTCTTGGGAATCTGTCACTGGAATCAATGCACCACTTCGGGCAGCTTCTTCTGACACGGCCCAAAACAAGAAGTTGACTGTTGTAAGTACTTTGTATTAATATTAATTAATTCCATTGTATTGACCGTTCCTCTGTCATCTTATCCTCGTTCAAATAATTAAAACCCCCGAGGACTTCGTTATTTCATCAGGAAGCTGCAGTGAAGTACTGGTTGGAACAAGGTGCCCCGCGGGATAAACTGGTTCTAGGGATGCCCCTGTATGGACGTACCTTCACTTTGACCAATTCATCGGATAATGGAGTTGGAGCACCTGCTCTTAGAGCTGGCAATGCTGGGCCTTATACTCTTGAGCCTGGATTGCTGGGGTACAACGAAATTTGCGAGAGGCAGAGTCAAGGGAACTGGACTGTCATCTATGATGAGGCGTATCATGCACCTTATGCTTGGAAAGGCAGCCAGTGGGTCGGATATGATGACATCAAGTGAGCTCATGTCAAATCGTAAAATCAAATCTGTTAAAATAGTATCAGCATGATGTAATTTGTTGATAGATCCATCCGCAAGAAAGCAGAACTCGTCAAGGAATTGGATCTCCGTGGTGCCATGGTATGGAGTATCGAGACTGATGACTTCACGGGATCCTGCGGTCATAAATATCCTCTCCTCAAGACCATCAATTCAGTAATAACAATTATGAAACCTCCGCCTTCTCAATCTTCAGGGGAAAATTCCTCTTCTCCTGTGTCCTGCAATGGCGGATTCTCAAATATGCACCATTCTAATCTAATCGTTTTATTAGTGACGACATTCTCCCTTTATCAATAAACAACAATTGATATTATATTGTTCATAGAATTTTTATTCTACACCCGGACTAAACACGAGATTCGTTCAAGGAAATATTCAACAGGATTTTAAATTCTTCTCACTGAAATCGGATAACCGTCCAAACTTTTTGAAGAGATATGCGTGTGGATTCTCAGATTTTCAAATTTCAATGAACTTGATAATCGGAAGTTACGGAGGATGTGCGCGAAGATGATCTTCAGGCAGGTAAACGCGAATTTATTTCCTGGACAGCTTCTGTAACCTGCGCTGAAGGGGTTGAACGCAAAGGGATGACGATTTCTCACGTTTTCAGGGGAGAAATGCTCAGGGTCAAAGACTTCAGGGTTCTGCCAGTGCTTTGGGTCCCTCTGCGTGGCGTACAGCAAAATGAAGAGTGAACAGTCTTTTGGGACTGTGCATGTTGCTAATAAAAAAATATCATTTCTTTATTCACGTTTTTAATTTTCTTTTTTATTGTTTTGTTCTCCAATTGTCTCTCACCAAGTTTCAGCTCATCTGTAGTTTTTCGAGCGATCACACAACCCACTGGAAATAATCTCAATGTTTCCTTTATTGTCATGTCCAGGTATTTCATTTCCGCTGTCTGGGATTCCGTTATTTCACCATCACCTGCTACATTTTTTATCTCTTCGCGCGCTTTTTCCTGGGGTCACAACACAAATATTTATCAATCCCTCGATTTTTTTAATAAATGATGATTACATATTTTTAATAAATAAAATCACTGACCTGAACATCCGGGAACATCGCCAGCATCAAAAGGGCGAAACATCCAGTGCCCACCATTGTGTCGTGTCCCTGAATTTCCGTAATTAATGAAATTAATAAATTAATGAATAATTTAAATAACTGCACAGTAATTTTTAATAAATAATTATTACCCCGACGTAAAACGTTATGACTTCATCACGAATTTCTTCATTAGTCCATTCATTCGTCTTTTCAATTCGACTAATTACACTATCAAATATCGATGAATGATTTTCTTTAATGTCTTCCATTGATCTCAATCTCTGTCTTTTTTTCTCGACTTCCTGGAAATTAATTGAGGCACATGAATCACGTTTTTTTTGTGACTTTTATTTATTTATTTATTTTTTAAGGTGTACTTGGTCTATCCATGTCTTCGCGTCCGTTAAAATTTTTTTGCATCTTCTGCCAGTTGGAGTTGTCAAAAAAATAAAATCCGGCCAGAGCCATGGCTTCATGAATCGCTCAAACGACGCGTGCAAAGCTCTAATTAAATTTAATGAAGTAATTAAAAATATTCATTATTTCTAATTGCATTAGTAATCTGAATTAGAAAACCTGAATTAAGAAATCGTCTTTTCGGGGAATCGAAGTTTTAGGAAAAATTGAATTTTCTGATAACTCACGCGTTAAAGAATTTTAAACAATTTCTTAATTGTTTGTTATTAATTTTTTAACTTACACTTCGGCCAATTCGAAGAAAGGACTCACTTCCCCGTTTTGGGCATTTCCAGGCAGTCCAAAAATCGTCTCTGGATTAAAATAAATCTTGTCATACATTTTTTATTCAATGGATAAATAATAATTTATTTAATAATAATACCAAATACGATATCGCCGATGCAGTGTTCAAGATAATTTTGAATATTGAATTCGGATTGATTCACTTTAGTCTCGAGACGATTCACGAATATCCGGGATTTTTCATTAATTTTCTCCACCGATGTTTTCCTCAGCTCATGATTGTTCATTACGTGGATTAATAATTTTTTGTGAGCTCTGTATATGGGGCCTGATGAATATTTACACATTGTTAATTCAGTTGATTTTATTCACTGATGTATTTACCGAATGAATTGATGAGGCCATTTTTCACTGCCATGTGCATGAAATCGTAAAAATCGTCTTTTTTCGAGGCTTTCGTGCTGAAGAACATGATCTATTATGCAGTTAAAAGAATGTTAATTAAAAATTACGAAAAGAGGGGAGTCATTTGTGGATAATAAAACACCTCGAGATCCCGGGGATCAGAAATAATAATTTTCAGACTCGGTCCCATCCAAAATCGGTAAGTCCCAGTTTTTTCGTCTCGACTGATTTTAGTCAGAATATGCGCTGTTTCTGGATTTATTATTAATTATTAATACTTATTCATTGAGAGTGAATTTATGTTTTTTTTTTTTTATCTTACTGTCAGCTTCCCTCAGCCACAAAGCATTTCCAATAATTGGTAATGGGGTAGGACCCGGTAATGAATCGGCAAATTTTGTCATCACTGATCTATATTTCCAATAATTTCGAATCTGCTTCCACCATCGCAGGAGACACAAAACGATTACCACGAAAAATACTGGAATTGTTAACAGTTGTTATTAAAATAATATCAAAGTTCATCATAACTTTTACGAGTAGAAGAATAAAAACCTGTGGATAATCCCATCTCGATGAAAATAAAATTTAATTCCAGTCTGTCGATTTCTTGATGCAATTGGAGATGGTTGACAGACAACTGATGACTTTTGGCTTTGAGTCTCACAAGAAAAATTTAATACTCGCATGAATTCTCAATTCATCAGTTTTTTCTCTGAACATTCGATTTGTAAATTCTTTTTGTGATCTTCTGGGAATGTCTTCCGCGTTGGAAAAACAATCGTCAAAACCAACTGCTCACTGCTACTACTGACTTACTGCTATCGTCCACACGTATTTATAGTTTGATTGGAAGGGTGTGTCCTCATAATGAACAGGGAAATTTCGATGACCAATTATTATCGATAGTTTTCCGATTAGAGTTCAATATTTATTGAAAATTTATCGCCAATATTTAAAATGCACCACTGATATCCCTCCCATCGCTCCGGAATGTGTAGCCGAAATATTTTTGGACATCAAGAGTCTTCCTGGGCCATAAAAAATAAAATTATTACCGAGATAATCGAATGACGAAAGAAAATGAATTTAAATGAATTTCTAATGTCGCATTACAAATTATGATTTGACAATAATAGTAAATCATGGGATTCGAAATTTCAAGTGTAAAATTACGCAATTGAAAAAAAACGTTGAAACGTCAATTTTTCTAATTGAAATGATGACTGAAATTTTTAACTCATTATTTAAAAATTTGAAATCTTCATTGATTTTTTAATGTTGAGTTGTCGATGAATTTTGAATGGCGCGGGCTCTCGGGAGATATTTCTTGCGACGCATGTGCCATTGTATTCATATATATATACATAATGTCGTGACATATATACCAAGGCATACATATGTGTAGGAATGCCGACAGAAGCGTCACTTGGTAAGTCCTCACATTTTTTTTTCTCATAAATCGCGTACAAAATTTATGAAAAAAAAAATATTCCATCCAATCATCGCAAAATAAATTCGTGCGGTTATTAATTAAATGGATTTTTATAAAAAATCGAAAGGATCGTTAAATGTAATGAGAATTTAATTTACATCCCCGTATTATATATTTAACCGAATTAAACCATTAAAAAGTCATTATTAATGAATTCGGGATCATCCAATACACAAACTCATTAAATTGATTCTCAAAACATCTAGTTCTCCAAAATTTATTGCGTAACAGGTTTTTGGTTCTGGGAATTCCCTTGTTTGTCGATTCAATCGCCGGATGTCCAGAACATTTGAATTTTTATTGAATTGTTTAAATGTTTATCAAGTGATAAAGATTATTTAATTCATGGGTTAGGCAGTACCTGTGTGGAATTGATGGAGTCATTCATGGATTTCGGGAAAATTCCGATGGAATTGTTCGCCAAATAATCAGCGAATCGATATCTGATCTGGCAGAGAAATCATCGGTACTCCTTATCCAATCTATCACTGATAATTATTTCTCTCCCGATATTTAATCCACGAAAACCTAAATGTTATGGGTTTCTCTATTTTTTACAGTCAATTATTAATTTTTTTTAAAGGATTTCCGGAAGCCGGAAGTTTGCCTGAATTTTTGCGATGAGTTCCTGAAATTTTTACATCGCACGGTGAGAAATGATTCTGATAAGACGATTTATCAGTTTGAGTGAGAGTCGTTTCGTGATTTCGTCGTGAGTCAGCTTCCACCAACGTCGGAATATCCATTTATTCCAGAATACAAGTCATTAGGAAAAATTAATTAATCAATAATATCAACGGATCGATTCAAAAACTAAGAGATCGATCTTCTGTTTTTTATTCTTCTACTACTGTATCGAATCTATATTTTAACAAAATAAATAAATATTATTGATTGAAATGTGGTAGAAAATAATTTCCTGCACACGCCCCAAATATAATCCACATCACGATCGCTGATTTTATGATACCATAATACGTTCCTCTTCTCCGCAAGATATATTAGACATATTATTTATTTATTTATTATCCATCTGAGTTCTCGACGTTCCACTTTTCGCGAAAAGTCTTTTTTTTTAGTTAAAAGTATTAATCTTATTTTTGACAGGGTTATTCCATTAAGAAGCTATCGGATCTCTGCGGATTCATCACCAATTATCGATATTTTTTTATCTATACTCGATTAATCAATTCGAGGAAGACCACCAGTAGTTTTTATCGATCTCTCGCATTGACAGATAAATAGACTTTTTTTTTCGCCCACTGAGGCATTTCATGAAAAAATATCTCAAGGTAAGTGTCTCCTAGTATTTTTAAATCTGGAAAATTTCATCGGATTTTCTCAATTATCCATCAATTATCCCTTCAATTACCCGGATTCAATAAATTAATTTGATAACTCCAATTTTAGGAGGGGTAATAATTACTCAATTATTAATTGCCCATTTCTTCTCAGATGCGGGTGTTTTGGTTTTTTCTCGGGTGCTTACCTTTAATTGCAGTTCAGGCTTCTGCTGGTGAGCGATTAAACGAATAAATATAAATAATGAATGGATTATTCGTCGATAAAAAAAAAATCAATCGATCAAGAAAACTATATCTGAACAATGACAATTACAATTAAAATGACAATTACCAATAAAATCAATTGAAATCTCCCAGACAAAGTGATCTACTGCTATTTCGGCAGCTGGTCATGCTATCGTCCAAAAAATGGTAAATTCATCGTGGAGGATATTGACCCATCGCTGTGCACGCACCTGGTGTACACATTCGTGGGTCTAGAAGGTGACAATGTGAGCATTCTGGATCCCTGGCAGGATCTCCCTGACTCCTCAGGAAAGGACGGATTCCGTCGTTTCAATGAACTTCGTCTGAAGTCCCCCGGTCTGAAAACCATGATCGCCATGGGAGGATGGAACGAAGGCTCAACTCAATATTCCGAAATGGCGTCAACACTCGAATCTCGTCGGAAATTCATCAACAACGTCGTCAGGTTCATCACGAAATACGGATTCAACGGTTTTGATTTGGACTGGGAGTATCCAGCACAGCGTGGGGGAGTACCAGAGGATCGTGAAAATTATGTTGCACTCCTGAAGGAGTTGAGACTGCGTTTTGATGAGGAGGGACTTATTCTGAGTGCGGCTGTGGCTGCTGCTGAGTCATCAGCCTCGAAATCCTTCATCATTCCTGAGATCAGCAAGTATCTGGACTTCATCAACATCATGGCTTATGATTTTCATGGAGCCAAGGATCCTGTCACTGGAATTAATGCACCACTTCGGGTGTCTCGTGATGATGCACCGAAGGACAGGAAGTGGAATGTCGTGAGTATTTAACTGGTGGTTTTTTGGCCTCGTTGATGATCTTGTATTTCCCAGGAAGCCGCTGTTAAATACTGGCTGCAACAAGGTGCACCCAAGGAGAAACTCATCCTCGGGATGCCACTGTATGGACGCACTTTTACTCTTATCAATTCAGCGAATAATTCGGTTGGAGCTCCTGCTCGTGGACCTGGTGCTGCTGGGCCTTATACTCGGGAGCCTGGGGTTCTCGCGTATAATGAAATCTGTGAGAGCCAGGCCAGGGGTGGGTGGAAAATTGTTTTCGATGATGAGAGATACGTACCCTACATGAGCAAGGGAAACCAGTGGGTGGGATATGACAATGTCAAGTGAGTTTTGCAGAGAGAAAAAAATGTTATTTCATCTCCTAATTATCTTTTTTTTAATTATGTCTTCAGATCGATTGCGGGAAAAGCAAAACTCATCAAGGATTTGGATCTGGCTGGTGCGATGGTATGGAGTGTCGACTTTGACGACTTCAGGGGAATTTGTGGTGAGAAATATCCACTCCTGAAGACTGTTAATGCAGTTCTCCAGGGTCGAACGCCAGTTCCTGACGAAAAAACTACAACACAAACCCCAGGACAACCAGAATCAACGCCTCCATCGAGCCGTTGCGAAAAAGAGGGACTCTTCCCTGATCCTCATTCCTGCGGCTTCATCAGCTGTATTAAAAATCATTCAGGTGAATTCATCGAACATGCCATGCAGTGCCCCCCTGGTTTGTGCTTCAATCCAAAAAATAAAATCTGCGATTGGTCACCCAATGAGTGGATTCTCTCAGATTAATTGGAATTGATAAAAATTCATTGATTCTCATACTCTGCAATGCATTAATTCAATTTTTCAAGTGTCATGATAATTTCTAAAAAAACATTGACTACAAATTTTCGTTGCAATAAATTTATGAAGTGTGAATTCTTTACGAAAATTATTTAATTTTTTATAAATTTAATTATTTAGGTTATTTATTTAATTGTGGATTTATTCATGAATACATGGAGGTATCGGGGAATTGTGGCATGTAGAACAATTTCTTCTCGATCTCTGGGGTCTCAGATCGATTGTGAGTCACTGGAGTCACGTTGATAATACTGTTTGTTAATTCTACTGGACGCAGGGAACCGAAAAAATCGGTTACTGGAACTTTTCTCGTGTCTCTTCTGAAGAGATCTGTACGAACTCCCACTTTAGAGAGACAGGCTGACTGCGGGCACACTCTCAGCTGGAGAATAATTAATTTATTGTTAAGTAATTCGTTCAAAGCGTAAGAAAAGAATTGTGGTAAATTTATAGTAGACGTGCTTGCGGCCATGGGATTATATCGCAGATGAATCTACTATTCATTTACCATTTACATATTTTATTTTTTGAGTCTTACGAATTCGTTTAGGGTTTTTGTTCCCGATGGTTCGACTGTCTCTAGAAATTCTAGTGCGTAGAAAGTGTAACGGTCTATTATGTACACTCCAATATTCGGATCCACGTGATGCTGAAATTAATGAACATGAGAGAAATTATTTTGCGAGAAACAGAAGTACATGAATTCCAGGATCAGGTGAATTTGATAAAATGAGTAATGAGAAAATATCTGCCAATATAATCGTTTCACAATATTTTCTATTTGATTCATTACTAATTCGTGGGATAAGTAATAAATTAACAATTGAACTCACGGATAGTGAATCTTCACCGACTTGACTAGATGCGACAGCCAAAATATTGGGTGAATAGAATTTCTCGTACATAGAGCTAGCCTGGCAAGTATCAACGACGAATAAAATCTCATGGTAACGTCTTTTCTGCCACATTTGTTCGACAGCATCGCTGAGATCCTGACTGGTGATTTCCTCGGAGTCTTGAAACTTGAGGAATCCATTGCCCCCGTGACCCGTTAGATATATCAAAATATTAGAGCCCTCGTCTGTGAGGAGTTTTTTCGACCTTGGAGTCTCAGGTGGCAGTCGTCCAGTCAATAATCTCACGAAATTCTCGACTGTCACCTCGTATCCCCTGTAATCCACCTCGACATCATCTCCATAGACATTTATGTGTTGTTTGATATTGTTGAAGACTGTTGCAGGTCGTGGATTTCTCGGATTGCACGCCATATCGTCGGCTATCATGAGAATAATCTGAGAATCTGGAATCCCCAGACGTTTCACTGAACGATAAATCGAGAGGACATTTGCTACGTGTCGATAGTTAAACCAGAAACGAGAGGTATCGACTAGAACTGCCCAATTGTTCGAGTGTCCGGTTTTTCCGAAATTCTCTGGTATCTAAATAATTTTTTTTTTTATTTAAACAATCGATCATTAGTGGAATTATTTATTTTCCCAAATGATGAGTCAATAAAAATTTTAACCTAATATATATTTCAATTAGTTGACACATCTCACCTGCCAAGATTGAATTTCCCGGGCGAAAAACAGCGCGAACACGACGAAAGCGTTAAAATTCATTGTAGAAGTTCACTTAAAAATTAGTTGAGTAATTTATTAATGATATAACTATTTGTTGAGTTATTTTTTATTTAATTACATGCTGGTCTGTCCCGGTGGGACGGCTCAGCTGATCGTCTGACAATTTCCGGGGTTTCACGTCAGATGGTACGCGCGATCGTTCGAACTTCCCGAGCGTCTGCCGAACACTCCCGAAGATCCCGAAGTCAATATTTTTGTGGTTTTGGCGGTAACAACTATTAGTTCCATAAGACAGTTGAGTGTGTTCAGTGCATAGTGAAGGATTAAAGTGAAATTGTGAATATTTTTGCTGAAAATATCAATCCTTGGTGAGTTCTCTTCAATTTTTAATAAAAAATAACACTAATTGAACAAATATTCGCATCTATTTGATACGATCGTCCGGAAAAAATACAAAATTTCTGAAAAAAATGGAGGGACGATTGAGAAAAACAAATTGAGATGATATTATTAATAATTTATTTAAACATTTATACACCTAGAATGTTCCACAGTCTTTAATGTAGTTTCGGATAGTTTTTATAACCTAGATAAAGCGTTAATGCCTAGAACGTAATTTCATCATTCGTCTTTTGTTATTTTTTTCACGGGGTTATCAAATTCTAACCTAACAAATTCACAAATCGTTCAGTTGTCCGGCGAACGATGGAAATAAATATAGAATAATTTGTCCAGTTGATACAAATTTCATTGCGGTATAATTTATCATAATTTATCATAATTTATCATTGATTTATGATCAATCTCGACTGCAACGAGCCCTCTGGCCTTGTTTATATTGTTTATTGTCTCGTGTACGTAAAATTGTCTGGTGTACCGATCGTTACATATTCTATCCATTACGTACACTTTTTTAATCTCTCATTTCTCGTTTCTCTCTCGAGTAAATGTTCTAGTTGTTACGATAGTCATAAATAATTACTATAATAATTTATATTAGAATTTCTATCTCGTATCGTACAGGAACTATAGAGGTATCTACTCGATTTTTTAAATTAGATAATTATCTTTCTCCTTCTATATTGAATATACGATTCAAATTTACGCGTTTTTTTTTATCGTCAAAACATTTTTATCGTTGGCTTTTAGAGGTTTGTCAATTAAAATAAATTTTTCCGTTTTTTCCCTCACTCTTTATCTCTTTGCGATTGTCATTCCGAAATCTTATGAGAGACCCGCGAATTTTTTCTTGAAAACAATTTTTTTTCTCCTAGTGGTAAAGTATTTTGGAAAAATGCTATTTTAGAAAAATCAACTTTCGAATTTCCCAGTGGAAATTTTCGTATTTCCTTATTTAATTTCACTATTGCATTCTGTTTCAATTGACAATCCTCCACGCCTGAAGAAATTACATAAAAACTTGTCGCATTCGTTTGGAAATTATCTTTTCAACAATTCAAGAAAAAATTACGGAAATATCTTCACAATCAATCCGACATAAAATAATGGGATGAATATAAAAAAAAACCCAACATAATTGATTTTTAAAACAAACAATAAACAAATGGGAATTTCAACTAAAATCGTACAAAAATCCAAGAGATTCTCGTACCGAATGCGATAGATTTTCTTTTTAATAATTTTTTTTCCGCTGGTGTCTATTTTTCTTCGGAATACAGAGTACATCTATTCATGCTTATAGACACTAATACACTGAAGACTCGAAAAATTGGTACAGGATATGTTAAGAGACTGAGTATTACATGTAATCTACTGTGATTTCGTTAAATGGAAATTACAATTGGATATTGCAGACACAATTCGTTTATCTAAATCAAAACATTCCGAATTTTTATTCTCACGGTTATTTTTAAAATTTCAGTAGCACCTTTTACGTGGTCCACGTGTGACAATCGATTATCCTCCCACCCCCCACCCCCTGTATGCCCCCCTCGCACCTCAATTTTTATATTACTAATAATAATTTCCATCGAATTTAATCGAATATAATCTCAACCTAGACCAACGATTCTAAATTACACCTACATATTTGGTCTAATTATTTTGAACATTTGGCGACGAAATTCATTGCAAAAAAAAAACATTGATAAAACAATTTGTTCATTCGTCCCACTCGTTCCGAGTTAAAGCAAGCGACATAAAGTAAGCATTTTTTTTTATTAAATACATCATATATTTATCCAATTCTCTTCGTTTACTCGAGACAGCTCTGAAGCACTCGACAATTCCCGGATTTTATTTATTGCAAAAAATCATTTAGATTGAAACTCCAATTAAATAATCAATGAGGAAAATTATTTCCGGTGATTCAGTTGAATATAATTGAGGATATCGTATTTTTTAATACTCCGGATAATAATTGACGAAAAAAATGATAAAGTCGTTGAAATATTTTGTCGCGCCTCGAGTAATTGAAAAGTCTTTCAATGAATTTTCGATAATTAAACGAATAATTTAAACATATTTAATGACTTTACAAGATTATAACGATTGAATCAATCATAAACATTGCAATTTTCTCTAATCACAGATTGAAATGATAAATTTTCGAAAAAAAAAATGGCGACGCATTAAATTCCGCATCGTAAATTAAAACCTAGAAATAAATTAAGTACGACGATGGTACAACTACTGGCGCACGGCTGATTAAAGGTACGAGGAGGATCGAAAAAAAAAAACTAATTAATTAAACAAAAAATAAAAAGCCCCGGCAATAAAATAAACATTAATGCTCTTTATCACCGCCGTGCTAGTCAGAATTCGCAAAAATTTTTAATACTTTGTGTAATACTAACGACCAAATACACGAATGGTCGATTTAAAATGATTGGCCGATCCGCCAAGAGTTCACCACAAGTCAAAATAAATAAAGTGACTCAAAAAATGGCGCTAACTACGTTTTCTTGGTTATTTAATCGTCTAGGGCCTCAAAAATTTTGACTCAAACTCGAAATTATTGGGATGAAACAATTGCGCGTTGTATTCACCGGTCGAGTACATCCGAGTCAAATTTTTTATTCGGATTTTCCGCTAGAAATTTCACTTGGAGATTAACTAGGCTACGTGTACAAGTGATGATGCATCTGGAGTTTGCGAGATGTACTTCTACCACTGATTTTTATCTCATCCGCGAGATCAACACCGTATGACGTTGATGTGTTATTCTCCTCTCCTGAAACAAAAATTAATTTTCTAATTCTTATTATAATAAACAAAATAATTAATTAATCAATTGATTATCAATAGTATAATAATATTCAATAGTAATAATAAATCGGAAAAATGAGTGGAGACTTTCATTGAAAAAACAGTCGAGTAAAATGATATTTTGTTTATTTAAACTCTGATTATCTCTCCACTCTCGTTATTAGTACAGGTGGTAGAGATCTCGTGAGATAAACCGTCTGGACCTGCATAACACAAACATAGAAAGAGGACTAGTTCTCAAGAACTAGGCGAGTCTCGTTTTAAACGTCAGTCTCTATATTTATCTCACGACGCATACGAGATTCAACGGTTTTTGCTACGTCAGTTCCCCTGAGCCCGATGAAAACACTTGGAACAACTCGTGGAGATCAATGAAAGTTTCTATTCATCTCTCGCCAATAATTCCGCCAATGAATAACAATAAAATGGGTCAATTAATTTTTTTTTTCTCCAGTAAAGGGAAAAGGGAAGAAAAAAAAATTTTATTTTGACGTTGAATTAAGAAAAAATCATAAAATCATAATTAGATGATGAATAATTAAGAGCGTGGTCAGAGATTGTTGATAAATTTGCGGAAATTTAATATTTTTAATTACCAGGAAAATTTACCGTAAAATGATGCATCGTGGTAATCACATGGTCCAGCGTGTCGTGTCTCCAGGACGAAACCTGTGACGCATGCATCCTTGACGATGTGACACCAGCTTGGATATGTGATATTATTTGTTGCACAGAGTTGTGAATTATTGGGTGAATCACGGGCCCAGTCTTTTTCCCGGTGTCTGTCGCGCTTTCGTTCGCGAATTCTCTCGCGTTTCCGGGGACATCTGTAGGTACATGTGACACATCGCGGACGTCCCGAGTTCATCTCTGTCAAACAAGTTTGCCCCTCGCGACAGCGAATTGTTGTGCAATCTGCGTTTGCTGTAACAAAATAACGGCAAAAGTCATTAAAAATATCGGTTAATTATTCAATCGGTTGATCGTTTTCCCCAATTTCCAAAATATAGAATTTTTCATAAATCAATAATTGAATTTCAATCGAAATGACAGATAAAGGAATAGCTTATTCTATAATTACAAAAATTATTAATTTATGATAAATGGTGGGAGAAATAATTTTCTCGGGGATGAATGGATTGGCAGTGGAGATTGGAAGGAATTAATCCATTTATTTCTTCAATGAAAAGAATTTTTTAGTCATTTTTTATTAGTTCAACGAGCGATAGAATGACTCCACGTGGTCATTGACACACATGAGGATGTCACTGTGTCAAGGTCTTGAGAAATAACCATAAAGAGGGGGTTCTCACTATAACTCAGGTTATTCGCCCCATTTCCGTCAACACAGCCATTCAATTACTCACCCAACTATTATAGTTTTTATTTGTCCAACTCACCGGCCATTGAAAAAAATTATGTGACATCAGATGAGTTCACTGAACCCCTCGCCCCTGTCGTCAAAATAACAAAATCTCCCACAACGTGTCAATTATGATTTTTATTTAAGTGTTCAGAATCAAAATGGATTCAATCAAGTTGGTCATCTATTTTGATTGTCGAAAATGAGTCGAACTCTGGTACCAATTGAAAACATCCTCTTCTGAATATTTTTCTCACTAGTTTAATCAATTAATCCGGTAATTTAATTTGTGAATTATTCAATTGTTGCGAGGATCTGGGAATAGTCCAAGTCGGTGAGATAGAAAATGTCATTTCTCCGATGAAAATTTAATTTTTACAATTCAATTCAATAATTCAATGAGAAAATTGGAAATAATTTATTATCCAAATTTTGTTGCTTGCTCCCAGTTTCGGTGGAATGTAAATATTTTTTTTTTTATTGACGAGTTTATCAATAATCAAAAATCGATAAATGACAAGATCTGCCTCTTTTGACCCGACATTTACCTCGTCTTATCGCAAATTCATGTTTCTCCGATTTTACAACTCACTAAAATGCAACAAAATTCGTACTGCGTCGGTGGTTAAATTTTATAACAGGAGAAAAAAATAATCGGGGGATTAACGGCGAAATAAAATAGGTCCGACTTAACTTTTGCAGTAAAAATTTAATACCTCGAGCTTTATTTCCAAAAATAAACAAAATAAAAAACCCACGTAAATGAAAAAAAACCCTGAAATTCACCGAAATTAAAAAAAAAACATTCAAGTCAACCTCGATACAAACAAATATAAAATGTGATAGAAATTGAAATTTTTACTCGTTTTAAATCGTTTTGAATTCCTTACCATCCACGCGGACTTGCATTTATTTATTTACTGTATTTATTTAACGTCAATCTTAATTATCGACATCTGTCCATCGAGAACAGTTGGAATTGATTATGTATGGGCGATCGATCTTTAAATTCCTAACTCGCTGCCGATGCGGAAACAGTCTCTCATTAAAAAAATCTATGAAAAGTCAGCATCAAAGAAGTTAACAAATAAATAAAACAAAATTCATTCTTTATGCAATAATATATTTGGGTAATACACAAGAATTTCTCCCCGCAATTATCCATTTAATAGAATAATTCCAGTCGAACTAATCAATATAAATAATCCTCTCGTATTTGAAATCTCGATCCATTTCCATATAATTCAAGGATTAAACGTCAATGCCAATTAAAGAGCCAACTAGACTGTACCCTTCACCTAATTATCCTTCTAGAGGACGTACATATCTATTATGTATGTACAAACTAATTGAATGGACTGGAAAAAGACGGCACAAACTGCATGCAAAGCCTTTTGTTTATCCACTCAACCTCCGTATTTTCTCATTTTAATTAAATCCATTCGTTAGCTTGTGCATGCGATTAGGCACATGGGGAATAAATAAACAGAATTTATTTACTCATCCTTTTTTTTTATCCCATGTGATTGGCGATACGATAAAATACGATAACGGAACCACGCACCAGCGCTTTATTCAGCGCACATTTATACATAATGAGTTCTACACCGAGGAAATTAAATCCTACCATTCGGTAAATCCATTTTTTTTGTCATTGAATACATTGCATGAAAGTCCTTTTTTATTTATTCAATTTTTCTCTTAATAATTGAAGAAGGATTAAGGAATTAATTACTCATTTTCATAAGGAACTTCTTGTTGCTGGGGATTTTTTTTTGTCTTGATTTCCATTAATCGCGGGATTTTTATTATTTAGAAATTTATTTTTTTAAGTTAACAACCGCGGTATGCGATAATTACACCTTCGTCCGCACCTAGAATGAATCATTGAGGTTAACCTGTGGTTCGGCTTGATTAACATTTCGCGGTTAACATTCGCTAATTCATGAAAATCGGTTTATAAAGTGAAATTCATAAAAACCGGGAGAATTATGCGATAAAAATTACAACAATATCCCAATACGACCCAATCGCCCTCGCATATACCCAATAAAAATATTAAAACTCCAATCATTAACGGGAATTAATACCCAAAAAAATCGATTGAACCGATAATTTTTCGTTTCCAAAAATTTCGAACCCTAGAGGACGAATTTTCAATTTTTTCCCGCCGCTCAAAAATCTGCGACGAAAAAAAAAATCGAATAAAAATAAAAAATTCACCAGACATGTAAAAAAATTAAGTGAAACCTTCTTAAGACGTTTGCGTTTTAAACGGTGGTGGGCCATTGAACCTTGTGTGTTGAGAAGAGAATCGGTGAGAGAAAACTTGTGGTTAAACGAGTGAGACAGAGAATGTCTGGTGTATCGTATGTGTTGGCTGATACGATAAGAGAAGACTGAGTGAGAGAAAAAGAGTGAGTGGAGGGAGGAGGAGGGAAATAAATAAAGATGAAAAATATTTTAAAAGGCAGACGGGAAGTGAAGAAGGATGAAGAATATATTGAGGTGGCTAGGGTACGACAGCGATATAACACAATGCAGCGATGCATCATTTGAGAAGGTGGAAAACACCTGGGGGCAACCCCCATGAGAAAATAATATTAAACCAAAATGTCATAGTAATATATTCCCCATACACCCTTTGTTGCATATATCCTATATTTTTTGGTATAATAATATACTAAATAATTCATACCACAGTAATTATAATTATAATCAAACCCCTGACGTGTGCTATCCTGAGAATTAGCGATTTAATTCTGGAAATCAATGATAATATAATTGAATTGAAATTACATGATTTTTCCGCCATCTTAATGCTAAACCGCGGTCCAGAAAATGGCGGAAGGCATCGGGCGAATCCTCACATTTTTTTCCGCCATTCAGGCGTATAAATAAACAAATTCTTAATATATTAATGTATCGTTAACGGATGTAATTAGTTATGATTATTATATTATAATTACAGATGTAATTTATGGGGTAACAGATATATTTCCGTGGGGTGATAGGGTGATAGGGTGATAGGGGAGTAGGGGGTAGGTGGATAGGGGGATAGGGGGATAGGGGAATAGACCGAGATAAAAACAGAGTGACAGATAAAAAAATAACAGATCGGTAGAGTTTCGCGGTGGGAGTGGAGAAGGTGGTGGTATGCCATAATATCCTTCCAGACGGTAGGTGGAAGTATGGGGCAGGGTTGCTTGTAACATCCCGGTAATTTATGACCTATTACAATTGCCAGTGCCGTGTTGGTGCAGCTGTGATTAATCGACTGACAACCCAGTGGAATCGATAGCCAACGTATAACGAGAGTTTTCGTGATTAAACGGGGGGGGAGGGTGGCGTATCGCGAATTTCTTGGGATCGAGTTGATTCGAGTAATCAGGGGATTACATCGATAATTGAATTCAATCCGCGATTTTTGACGGGGGGACTGTCGGGGACTTTGGACCACTTTTAACATTTCGACAGACGATTTTTTTTTTATTAAAAAATCCAACCCCATGTCCCTCGGAAATATTTGCGCTTATCGTTGGGTACCGCATTCGCACCTCTTTATTATTATTATCTTCACCATCTTCTCGAGAATATTTACACGGCGACACCTTCGTTCATGTCTCTCAGGATTGTTTACTTATTTACTCGAATCCCAAGACGTTTTGTGTGCAATGCTCTCGGTTCCCGGTGTTCGGGCTTCGGTATATAGCGAACCGCAAAAAAAAATTATCAACAAAAAATATATGCACGGAAATATCCTTTGAATATAATTGCTTTTAACTAACTGACTAGCTTGTACACTTGAAAAAGAAATTGTCTGCTATTTTAAATATTCTCTTTTCCTTTCTGGATTCATCAGCCATTGTAAATCGGTAACGGTAAAATTCAATTTCATTTGTTTAAAAAATTCACGAACTTTATGGAATGACTTCGCATATGAATATCTAGGATGATGTCATGTTTATTTATTTCATGTTTAATGGTCTCGGCTTTTTAGGGCAGAGTCCACTGTCTGACGGCTGCATGTCACATTCATCATGAAATCTCATTTTGGGCTAGTCTCATGTCACGTGCTGTCAGACTATCCGGAGAGAAATTTATTTTTAAAATCACCCCCACAGCTAGTTATCGTCTAACCAATTCAGGATCTTCAACCAGACAATCTAATAGAAAATTTTAATTTTCCTTTTTAAATACCCAAAAAATTACAGCGCCATTCGCATCAAAATATTTGCAATAATTCAATTCATGATTGGGGCACAGAAAAAATTGCCGAAAAAACCGAAATGTTTCGTCTGACGGTCCCTACCCTTCGGGTAATTCAAGATATTTCGAGATCGATTTCCTCTCCTATTTTTGTATTAGAATTTACATTTCTTCATGGGTCCAGTCACTCTTGACTACTCCCACGTCATAAGCGCGGGAAAATCCTCCGTCGGACTAGCTCTCGGTTCCCGCACACTGAGGCCTCCACTTCTAAATTAAATTTTCAAGCTAAAAATTTGAATTTCTCATAGAAGTGACTAGATGCGAGCCTAATATTCTGAAAGTTGTAGATTCGATTCTCCGTTGAATCGAATTTTTCAACAGGCACCGATGAGTAGGAGGTTGCTAATAGAACAACCACCTGTACCGACATGGTTTTTCCTGTGGTTTCCCATGTAAATACGGTACAGTGTAGGATCCCCATTTACATAGGGTGGAATAGGGCGAAAAGGGCAGAAAGGGCCGGAATATAAGAAAACAAAAACCGTATATAATCCAGAAAAATAATAAATTTCGGATGCAACGATTACAATACTTCCATTCGGACTAAAAAAAAAGTCTGGACGAGGAATACTCGGCAGGCGTTACGGCTGGTGTACAGCATGCAGCACTCTTTTGCTGTTTGTGAGGCTGTCCGCGCGCGGGGGCCCCTTTGGCATATACCCTACCCTTCACCGCCCTGCGTCTCGTCGGAGTGCATACACACCGGTAGACTCCCCAGAGGTACCCTCTCTTGATCTTTTCCTCAGTACCTTCAGCACCCAGTATAAAACGTATAACATTCGGCGAATGCCGAGACGGTGGCCGGAGGGGCGGAGGGAGGGGGGCACTTGCTGGCAGTACAGAGGGCGAATAGGGGGAGGGAG